ACAAAAATAGTACCGTGCTTTAGGGACTGCCTGGTGAGGATCTGCAGCTGGAAATGTGTCACTGCTGTAGGAGGCCACCATCCTCCTGCTGGTCCCTAAGTTCCTGGAAGTTGGGTGTAACTTCTGTCACCACCACTATCAGAATGATTTTTCCTCTATCTGTGTGCTCACGCGTGCGCATGTGTGTGTGTGACCCCTTCTGCTGGCTCTATCTCCTGAGCCTAGGTCCCATGCCTACGTCCTGGCTGCCATTAATGGGGGAGAAAAGAGAACCTGGCCTCCACGTGGGAAAGAAAAACTCTTATCTTCCGGCAAAACTTGAAAGACTTGGAAACATCCCAAATATAGAAAGAGGCTTCAGATGACTAATACTCGAAAATGAACCTTGTGAATCATAGCAACATCTAGAAATGGAAACGGGTCCCTGCCTTCGCAAGATATATTATCTAGGTTGACAGCTGTTTTGGAAAAGGGCCAGACAGGAAATACTTGAGGGTTTTCAAACCAAATACTTAGTTGCAACTATTCAATCTCATCCACATGGCACATGTTTGGATACGAATTTGAATTTCATGTGCCACAAGCTATAATTTCTTTAAACCATTAAAAAATACTAAGTCCATTCTTTCAATGTCTTCCTCAGTTAACTCTGAGATTGGTAGAGGCTTTTGTTCCTTTACTGGGGAGTCTTCAGTAACATTCATTGTGCCTCTGTCTCTTTTAATTTTTGACATTGCAATTCTGTTTGGTGGATTTTTCTCCTTAGTGCAGATTTCTTTTCTTTCTTTTTTTTTTTTTGATGGAGAAATTTAAAAGTTTATTACTGATGTCACCATACTGCTAACAAAATAAGAAAAGGTAAGCTTATCTAACTGTAAACTGTTACTATCTATCTATAATTAAGTACATGCATGTCTACAAATACATATAATATATATAATATATACTATATAATAAAAATTATATATCATATACTATACATCATATATAATACATATTATAATATATAATATACAATATAGAACATAATATCACATCTATCATATATCATATTACATATATATTATATTACATCTTATATATAACATATCATATATCTTATATATCAGGATATAGAATATATTATTCAATAATATATTACATAGATATTGCACATAATATATCATATATATTATATAATCATTGTATATTATGTAATGTATAACACATAATATATAGTATAGATTATAATATATGATATATACTATATATTATAATCTTACATAGTTGAGTAGGGTACAAAGGGTCAAGGGCTATAGGAAAGTGGGTAAGACCATTGTTTCCACACTAATATAATTTTTCCCCCTGTATCTGGGGTCAGGGGAGAAACAAAGGGAGAAGCCCCACCCAGCATCCCACCCATCCCAGTCCCCGATGTGGGGCATGCTCTGAGGGTCTTGCTCATGCAGTTTTGATAGTTCAACAGTTCTGAATTGCTGCCAATCTCGCCATTCCAAGCATGATGAATCTCTTCAGAATCTACTGGCTGACAGTCTCTTCATGGTTGGGATTATGAGATCAGCAGTTCAGTTTGGAGGGATCTCCAAAGAAACTTCATCTGACGTGATCCCAGACCTGATTCTTGTGTGTGCTTGCCAGTACAGGGTCCAGCACAATCTGTCACCCCAGTCAGCTTATGCACATGCTGGTGGTTGCATTTGCTGGGTCAGTTCTGTTTCCAGCCCTGTCTTTCACACAAACCAATGGGTGTTGCAAATCAAGTCTGATCCTGCCCACCACGCACTCGGTCCTCATGCAAACCAGTGGGAGCTGCAGCCTAGTTGGGGCAACTTCCCATAACCCCACCAGGCCGGCTCCCTAACCTGGTTGCCATGCTTGTCAGTATGTACCGCAGACTTGTTCAGTCTGTCCCACATCCCATTTAACTCTTGTACATGTCAATGGGCATTGAAGCCTAGTTCAACCCAACCAACCTTACTATCCAGCCCACACACATACTGGCTGGTGCCTGTCTGTCTAGCCATCCCTGTCCCTGTCCTGGTTTTCATGCTGTCCAGTGGGAGTGGTAATCCAAGAGGGAGGTGCCCACTATTTCCCTCCTAGGCCACTCCCACCCCCACATCATGCACTCTCCAGGTAGTTCTGGAGTTTAACTTGACAGATTTAGCCCCCAGTGCCAGCCTCTGCCATCTGATGGTGCAGCAAAGCCCAATCAACCCTCACTCACTCTGATTTTTGCTTGCATCAGTTGGAACAGTCAGCCCAACCTGATCTAGCTTTTCCCTGATCTAGCTCGCATGAGGCCCACAGGTGTTGTAGCCCTGCCTGGTCTGGTCTGCCCCCATCCTAACTCATGCTCTCCAGTAAGAGTGGTTGTCCAGCAGGGGAGCCCACATTCCCCCTGCCATCTTAGCCCCCTCCCTCCCTGGTTCTCTTGTGTGCAGTTTGGGTGCTGTGGGCCACATCTGGTACAGCTCATCTCACCTTGGCATTCTGTAATGTGCATTGGTTTGTGTCAGCAACTGAACCTGGCCCGACCCACACACTGTTTTGGTGCTTGCATTTGCCAGCGGGTGATGTGAACTGGTTCAGCCTGGTCTGCCCCTAACCTATGCCAAATGTATGCTGGTCAGTATCTTTCTCTGGCCTGGTCTGTAGGGACTCACCTGTAGGGACTGCGTCCCAACAGAGGAGTTTTCCAACCCCTCCATCAGAACCTCTCCCTATGCCAAATCTTGTGCATACTGGTGGGTCCATGGGCAGCCCCCCTTGCTGGCCTTTATTCCATTCTGGTTCTTACTGTTGGATGTTTCAGCCCAGCCAAGGCTTGTCCATATCCAGACACTGCTCACACATGGCTCGGTAGGGACAGAGACCTAGCCTAGTCTGTCCTACATCTACCCAGGTTCTCCAGAGCACCAGATGGTGCTGGTGTCTAGTCCAGCTAGGTATAACCAGCCCCAGTTCACACTTGTGCCAAGGGAAATTGCAGCCATATCCAGAGCAGAATGCTTAGTGCAGATTTCTAAGATGTATTACCTACAGGCCTGGCTCTGCAAGGGCTGATCTGTGCTTGACGCTGGATCCTTGGTTGTCGCCGGAGTCCAGATCACAGCTTATGGGAGGCTGGTGGGTTTTCTGTTCTCTGTAACACCGCTCGGCCATCATCACTTCTTCCCTGTGTGCAGAGGTTCCCCAGGTACCTCCCTGTTGACTTCCTGACCCCTATCTTTTTCTCTAATCTGCTCTCTGTTCTTTGCCCTGTTATCCCATATATGTGCTCATTGGAGTCCTGGCTGCTCCATTTCTGATCCAGCTCCTTCTTGGGGCTTGAGGGAACCTCCTAGGGTGACTCAAGTCCTTGGGCCTCTGCATTCATGTGGGGGACCTAGAGGATGCTCTGGGCTTCTGCTTTAGCCTGGCCCATCTGGGGAGTGAACCAATTGATGGAAGATCCCTCTTTTCAATCTTTCTCTCTCTCTCTGCCCTTCCTTTTCTCTCTGTAAATCTGCCTTTCAAATAAAAATAAAGAAAGAAAATATTAGAGTGAACCGGCATTTTGTATAGGGCAGGAATGAGCTCAGTCTGTGAATTTGCTTGGGGCGGACGTGCCAGGAAAAGGAGAGCCTATTGGCATCACATGGGCCCTTGACCCTCACACATAACGCAGTCAAGGGCAACAGTCTGGTGTCAAGCCACCACCTTGTTCTAACCCTGGACTCAGTCACTTACCTAATAGCTGTGTAAACGTGGCCAAGTTACCTAACCACCCTGTACCTTAGTTCTCTCACCTATAAAGCAGGGATGATAAAAATGGCCTATGGATAGTATGGTGATGTTAATAGACCCAATAAAGGGAATTCTTTACAAAAGAATTACGTGCTGGGCGAAACATGATAGTGTAGCAGCTAAAGTCCTTGCCTTACATGCGCCCCGGGATCCCACATGGGCACTGGTTTGTATCTTTGACTGCTGCACTTCCCATCCAGCTCCCTGCTTGTGGCCTGGGAAAGCAGTCAAGGATGGCCCAGAGCCCTGGGACCCTGCACCTGTCTGGAAGACCTTGAAGAAACTCCTGGCTCCTGGCTTCATATCAGCGCAGCTCTAGCCATTGCAGTCGCTTGGAGAGTGAACCAGTAAACAGAGGATCTTTTTCTCTGTCTCTCCTCCTCTCTCTGTATATCTCACTTTGTAATAAAAATAAATAAATCTTTAAAAAATAATTAAGTGCTGAGTACCATGGCTGGAGCCTGGTAAACCCTTCATCATTTGTTAAATTAGGGATGAGGGCCGCTGGGTGCTGAGTCATTGGATGGCGGTGTTTCTCTGTGTCCACAGAGTGCAGATACCTGAGGGAAGCACTAGATGGCAGCAAAACACAATCCTTGGAGACAGGAGTCCCAACTTTGCATCTGCTGCTTGGATGTTCCCAGTTTCTGCAGAGGGACCTGCCCAGGAACGCCTAGGGCACATTTCCCCCCTCTGCCTTCTCTTGCCCCCCAGCCTCAGCATGCGGCACCCACTCGCAGCAGAGACCACGCTGGATTCTGCAGTCTGAGCCTCTGTTCTGACGGCAGTCATTAGTCTTGCAGGCTTGCTTGGGTGTGGATTTACTTTGCCAAAGATTATTATTTTGAGGCTTTGCTATGTACTGAATTTGCTGAATAGCCCTCTGAAAAACTGCACCAATTGAAGTTCCACCAACAGTGTGTATGTGGGGGTGGGTCCCTGCCCTACTGGATATTATTACTTGAAAAAATTTGTACAAGGTAGAGGATGAAAAATGATATCTTTTACATTTGTAACTGCTGGCTAAGATCAAAGACTGAAAAACACTGCTATTGGGAATTTCAGTATCTTCTTATACCCCTTTGCTTAATTTTCTATTGCAGTGTTTACAATGTTCAGTTGAAAGAAAAATTGGGTTTAGGTTGAAAACCAGAGTATGAGAGAGATCTTTACTGTCTCATTTCTCAAATGTCCATGACAGCCTGGCTTATCCGGGCTTCTCACCTGAGCTGTTTTCTTTGTCTTTCCAGCACCTTAGTGGAACAGGATCAGAAGCCGAACCCTGAGACTGACATCGGCTCTCCTGCAGGGGGCGCCAAGTTCACCAGCAGCTCCAGGCGCCAGAACTCCCGACCCAAAAAGCAAATTATGTAATATGGAGACTCACATTTTCTGTGAGTATATTATAAGGGTGCTTCAATTACTTTTTAAATGCATTAAAAAAAAAACCTCATGCGTGGCTTTCAAAATGTTTTGCACCAAAATGAACATCTTTTACTTGCATTTTTCTTTTTTTAGTTTCTATTAATATAAAGTATTTCATGTATTTCATAGGTACAGGTTTTTTAACAGATGTATATATTTTCATTGGAAAGGCAGATATACAAAGAGGAGAGACAGAAAGGAAGATCTTTTGTCTGATGATTCACTCCCCAAGTAAGTGCAACGGCTGGAGCTGTGCCGATCCGAAGCCAGGAGCCAGGAACCTCCTCCAGGTCTCCCACATGGGTGCAGGGTCCCAAGCTGTTGGGCCATCCTCGACTGCCTTCCCAGGCCAAAAGCAGGAAGCTGGATGGGAAGTGGAGCTGTCAGGATTAGAACTGGTGTCCATATGGGATCCCGGCGAGTTCAAGGAGAGGACTTTAGCCACTAGGCCACAGAACTAGGCCCCTTAGGTACAGTTCTAAGACCACAATCATACTTTACTATCTCTCCCTCCTTCAGTCCCCCTTCTTCCCTCCATTTTTCTTTAATGTTTGCAAAAGCGTAATTTCCATCTACTCTATAACCATGGGCTTTGTATAATCATCTGTTTTAAAGGATTTATTTTATTTGAAGGGCCGAGTGATGGGGGCAGGGCTGTGGTGGGAAGCAGGGAGAGAGAGAATTTCACCCACTGGTTCACTTCGAGTGGTCAGAGCATCCAGGGAGGGAGCCTGGCCACGCCCAGAGCCTGGATCTATCCAGGTCTCCCACATGGATGGCACGGTGTAAGCACCTGGGCCATCTTCTGCTGTTTTCCCAGGCACGTTATCAGGGGGCTGGATCAAAAGCGGGACAGCTGGGACTGGAGCTGGCACCCATATGCATTGCTGGTGTCGTAGACAGTAGCTTAACCCATGGGGTCACAGGGCAAACCCTCTTGAAATGTTTAACAGTGTATCGTGGGGCAGACATTTGACCCAGCTCTCAAGATGCTGCGTCCCATACTGAAGTGCCTGGGCTCGATTCTTGGCTCTGATTTGGCCGACGCAGACCCTGGAGAGCAGCAGTGATGGCCCAAGGAATTGCATTTCTGCCAGCTGTGGAGGAGACCTGGCTGGGGTTCCTGGCACCTGGCTTCTTCTCCAGTGCAGCCCTAGCTGTTACAGGCATCCGGGGCGTGCAGCATCTGTGCGCTTTCTCTGTCACACTCTGTCTCTCAAATTGGAAAGTAACATGTGGGAATGCTTTATTAAGACAGTAGTTTGGGGCCCGGCATGATAGCATAGCAGCTAAAGTCCTTGCCTGACACATGCCAGGATCCCATATGGGCACCGGTTCTAATCCTGGCAGCTCCACTTCCCAACCAGCTCCCTGCTTGTGGCCTGGGAAAGCAGTCAAGGACGGCCCAAAGCTTTGGGACCCTGCGCCCATGTGGGAGACCTGGAAGAGCTCCTGGTTCCTGGCTTCGGATTGACTCAGCTACAGCCATTGTGGCTGCTTGGGGAGTGAATCATCGGACAGAAGATCTTCCTCTCTGTCTCTCCTTTTCTCTGTATATCTGGCTTTCCAATAAAAACAAATAAATCTTTAAAAAAAAAAAAAGACAGTAGTTTGTGTTGCAAGGTTTAAACCTGCTCTCTCCTTCTGCCTTCATTGATCCTTTGTTTTTTATTTGATTGCCATGAAGAATTTACGATTGTGTCAGTTTTTATGTATCCTGTTTTTTTCTACAGGGGAATATTTTCTATGATTTCCTTTAATGCTGTCATGATTTCATTTTTTAAAAAGATTTATTTTTACTAGAAAGTCAGATATACAGAAAGGAGGAAAAACAGAGAGGAAGATCTTTCTTCCGATGATTCATTCCCCAAGTGGCCACGATGGCCAGAATTGAGCCGATCCGAAGCTGGGAACCAGGAGCTTCTTCCAGGTCTCCCAAGCAGGTGCAGGATCCCAAGGATTTGGGCCGTCCTTGACTGCTTTCCCAGGCCACAAACAGGGAGCTGGACAGGAAGTGCAGCTGCTGAAATTAGAACTAGAGTTCATATGGGATCCTGGAGTGTGTAAGGCAAGGACTCTAGCCACTAGGCTACCGTGCCAGGCACAATGATTTCATTTTGTAACATTTCAATCTTTGAGCTGTTTGGAATTTATCCTGATAGAAAGGGGAAGAAGGGGCCAATTCCATTTTTGTCCAAATGGCTGATTACTGTCTTAACACTAACTTTTGAATGGCCCATCTTTTTTTTTTTTTTTAGATTTATTTATTTTTATTGGAAAGGCAAATATACAGAGAGGAGAGACAGAGACGAAGATCTTCTGTCTGATGGCTCACTCCCCAAGTGGCCACAATGGCTGGAGCTGAGCTAATCCGAAGCCAGGAGCCTCTTCCGGGCCTCCGAAGTGGGTGCAGGGTCCCAAAGCTTCGGGTTGTCCTTGGCTGCTTTCCCAGGCCACAGGCAGGGAGCTGGATGGGAGTGGGGCACCGGGATTAGAACCGGCGCCCATATGGGATCCTGGCATGTTCAAGGCGAGGACTTTAACTGCTACACTATTGCACCAGGGCCTGAATAGCTCATCCTGTCTACAATCATTATTTGCAAATTATTCTCTAAGAATGATGTAATCATAGCATTCTTTTCATAATGACCCATGTACAACTTAATATCTGGCAATAGGTAAATTGTGAAATAATTTCTACTACATTCTTTTAATAAGTATTCATGTTTTCAAATACTCTCTACAAGGAAGAGTTGTCAAGTGAAAATTAAAAGGGGAGACTGGCATTGTGCCACAGTGAGTTAAGCCTACAATGTATAATGTCAGCACGTCATATTGGAGTGCCAGTTTGAGTTCCAGCTGCTCTGCTTCTGATCTAGCTCCCTGCTGAGGTACCAGGGAAAGCGAAGAAAAATGGCTCACATCCTTGGGCCCCTGCCACCGACACGGGAGAGCAGGGTGGAGTTTCATAGTCCTGGCTTCAGCCTGGCCCAGCCCTGGCTGCTGCAGCCATTGTCGGGGGAGAATCAGCAGACAAAAGATCCTCTCTCTCTCTTTTCCTTTGCTGTTTTGCCTTCCAAATAAGTAAAGAAAATTTTTAATTGAGAGAAAAGCAAAATACAATATAAGGCTAACAATCCAAAGTATAAACAAAAGAACCCCTTTTCTCTGTATAAAATAGCTATAAGAATATAAAATAGAAATTTAAGAATAGTTACTTGTGTTGTATTATTTTTTTAAAAGATTTATTTTATTTGAGAAGCAGAGTGTCAGAGGAAGAGGGAAAGCCAGAGAGAGGGAGAGTGATCTTTCATTCGTTGATTTGCTCTCCAGATGGCTGCAAAGGCCAGGCCTGGGCCTGGTCAGAGCCAGGAGCCTCTTCCGGGTCTCCCATGTGGGTGCAGGAGCCCACGCACCTGGTGTATCGTGTGCTGCTTTCCCAGGTCATTAACAGGGAGATGAGTCGGAAGTACAGCAGCAAGAACTCAAACCTGCGCATAAATCGGATGCCGCTGGCGTCAGTGGCGTTATCTGCTGTAACAGCGCCAATCTGATCTGGAATTATTTTAGGCTCGCTGTGGCACCGCTTCGCCGCAGGTTCCAGCCTTTGGCGTTTCACATGAGGGATGTCACAGGTCAGAGGGCAGGAGATGCAATTTGTAATCTTGGCTCAGCCCTAGACAAGTGTGACCTTGGGTAAGTCACTTCCTGTCTTTGAGACTCTTTCTACAAAACAAAGGTGTCAGACAGTGTCTGGAAGTTCTTTCTGGTTTTTAACTTTCTACTAGTAGAAGCTGTGAGGAATTCCAGCTCTGCTAGAGCTCCGAGGATGCATCAGCTACTAGAGGAACGTGTAGTATGGAGGTTGGTTTGTGTTTGCTAAGCTATAGATTCATGAGGAATTAAAAAAAATGATTATGATCTTTCATCAAATCTTGTTAGCTTGCTACCCCTTCCCCCTTTTTCTCTTGTTCTGGCTAAGCTGCTGAAGCTAAGCTGGGTTGTGTGGATGTCGTCTCCTTGCGGCGGGGTGGTGTGTTAGCTCTTGTTCCTTGGCCACGGTCAGGTGAAGTTCATTTAGATAAGTCAGAATGGGAAAGGACTGTGTGCGGGGCTGGTCTGCCTTGCAGAGTGGACCTCACCAAGCTGTGCAGCCTGGGGGCACCTTCCCAAGGAAATGCATGCTTACCAACAGAGGGCACACAGCAGTTAACCTGCTCCTCACACCCTACTCTGTGGACTGGGAGGCTGAGCCAGATGTGTGCGCAGCATGAAAGAATTGGGACCAACTGGGTGATGAGAGATGAAGGGAGGCTTGGCGCCTGGGGGAGCATTTGCTGATCATCAGCAGTGTGATTTAGGAAAACTGTATCTCTGTTGATGAAAGTGAGCTTAGAATAAAATGTGAACTTTTCTAGGTCCTTCATTTATTTGTTTATTTTTGAAACTGAAAGAAGAGACTAAGTAGATTGACACAAGCTGAGACATTCCTCTTATTTGGGTGCTAATTTAGATATCCCCAAAAGGGCATTTGTGGTAAGGGCTGGGCCCCAAGGAGGCCCCGCTGGGGAGAGATTTTTAGAGACAGGCTAGTGGGTGGTTCTTAGTCGTGGATGGTGCATGACGTCAGGAGGTAGTTTTCCTAGGAGCGTGGGTGATGTTAGCCTAAACAGGACCAGGCCTCTCTCCCTGCTTCCTGGTTCACCAAGTGGTCATTCCTGCACCTGCCCTGCCAAGGCCAGCCTCCAGCGTCACCAAAAGGCTGAACCAGCATGGCCACCGCATCTTGGACTGTGGACTCCTGAAAATGTAAGCCAAAGGCAGGTGTTTTGATTTGATGAAAACCTGACTAGAGCCGACATAACAATCAGACATGGCTTTGCTTCTTTGGTCATTGTCAATTTCTGAAAGATATTAGCAAGCACAACATGTCTTCACTTGGTAATGTTGAATGTTCTTGGTTTTTTTT